TTGAAGTGTATCCTGTTCGATATTCAAAACAATCCTTTGATTTCCCAAACATCGCCAACTGTGTGTAAAAAATGCTATCCCGACTGTGAAAGCACTGGATTAAAACCCGTTATGGACGTAACATTCCCTGCATTTACATTGCTCAAACTCAACGATGAAGAATGATTATATCGAAGTATAATACTAAAGCTATCTGTTATCACACGAACGCCAAATATACTCGTCCGTGCGTCGGGTACAACTTGGATATTTTAGGACGAAACATGCGACCAGACACTGGTATTGTACTTTATAGTAAATTATTTCATATTTCATGTATTAGAGTAATTTACAGCAGGTACATTAAAAATCGTTTAAAGACCTTTCATTGGCATTGCCATTGGCCTTTATTTGAAGAAAAATCCCGCTTAAAATGCAGCTTCTTGCGACTTGTATCATGACCGCTGTGGGTCATCAAGACAATATTTATATCAACCTTTATTCATGCAGTAAACTTTATCGTATACTGTGATGGACCTTCTAGAGGTTTCACCAAACGATACTGGAGACAAATAACCTATCTATATCAATGGAAGCTCTAAATATTTTATCATATTCATTAAAGAATTCTATGAGCGAGATGTCGTGCGCACATAATTTATGCACCAGTCATTTGAAACCCCCGACCCCCCCCCCCTCGGGGATACCCGGGGCATACCGGGGATATTCACCTCGTTTTCACCGTTTTGTCCTTCCCCGGTCACTGGGGAATGCGCAAGCTTTCACTGCGCTGGCCATCAGGTCGGGGCCAATGTGCGGGGGATTCACTCATGTTGTTTTACACTGTATGTTAATAAGCTGACATGAAGTACTACCTGTATATTCCCTGTATTGTTGGCGCTTGTCGCCTCGTGGTTTTTCTAAAACTTTTCCTACCTCGCAAGCCAGGCTTTCTACTATAAAACTATAAAAAGTTCATGTCGACTTTTTATATGCCTTTTGTATAAATTGAAATAAATTCAGTATTTTTATTTTCCTCGTTGTTTGGTGAGAACTGGGATCTAGAGTCTAAACAAATATGCTTTGTAAAAATATTGCTTCAAAATTACGCAACCAGCTAGCCCGAAAATACTTTTTAAGTCGTCAGCATTGCTCCTTCAATATGGTTTGATTTGTGTTTAGCTTATACTTGATATTTTCAGTTCGTGTGACATGAAGCTGCATGACATTTCAGGTTGCAGCGGCGTAGCCAAGGGAAGGTGAATAGGGGTATACAAATCCACCGACCGCACAAATTTGAAGCAAAATCCGCGAGTCCGACAGTGGTCTTGTCTAAATTTGAAACCGCTAAAAGCTCTCCTATGAAGTCACAATCCAGGATCCGAACTAATTGGGGGGGGTCCATATTCATATGTTTGTGTTCTGCATTATTATTTAAAGCGATTGTTTTTAAGGTCTGTGAACACGAATATATGAATATGCCCCCACCCCCAATTACCCGAGCTGGCGACGCCGCTGCCGGATTGCGTAATTTTTAAAACAGGTGTAGAACAGTGAGTTATGTGAAAACATTTAATAAAAAGTTTCCAAAAACGAAATTTTGCAATCAGATATATTATAAGGAAAAAAATTAATATAAAATAATAAAATTATACCGGATGTTTCAATTCAGCCACAATTTGACATGTTAAAGCCGATTTCCATTCAGTGCAATATGTTGCGCGATTGACTTTTTGCGATTACTTTCTTTTAAAATGTGTGTGGTCAACTCATCCGTTCAGTTGCGTTTTATTGCGTGTATTTCAAAAGTCAATCGTGCGACATTTTGCATTGATAGGAAAATCAACCTTTACCATAATTTTTTGTCACAGTTTTAATTATAACTTCAGTATACAAGATTTCCGGGACATTTTGTTTTAATTAAACTAGTGTCGCATTAAAAAAGCTCTTCGCCAATATTTAAGAGGAGACTCGACAGTAAAGCGATAACAACAACTTTAAAGGTAGCCTTTTAATATAATATGAAATACGATGACAACAACAACGTGGCCAAGACGTGCTACATGAATATAACATGCAGTATATGTCGCCTGGGCGCGAACAAGATCGCAGGCGCATATAATGCTTAACAATAACAATGTCAACTAAAAGCCAAACAATGGCGCTTAGATAGCGATTTTAAAAGCTATCTATATTGAATATCAGGGGAGAAGGCCGGGGGAGTTCACCCTACTTTTTTCCCCCGGTGACCGGGGAATTAATCAAGGTTCACACCCAAAGAGAGTGAATTCCCCCGGTATCCCCGAGGGGGGGGGGGAGGCGGGGGTTTCAAATGACTGGTGCATTACTGTTTATGAATTTAATAGTATGTATCCCTGATTAAACGTAGGGACACTTTATACCAGGTATAATAGAAAATATTTTGCTAAAACTTATCAGCTATCATTCCTTTGCATTCAAGGGGCGAGGGTAAATGGCTATAGAATTATATAGGAGATGCTGTGCAATATTTTGGCTTCAGCATACAGTTATTCGTGCAGACAAAAAAGGAAAAGCATACAGTTGTGAATTGTCTTATAATTCTGTACTGTTGATCCCAAACAATTTTGTACGTTAAGAGTAACACTCCTTCCTACCTGGTGGCTGGTGTTTTATATAAACGATGATAACCTATTTTTTAAAGAAAATCTAGAGCACTATGACTATGTTTACAAACGCTTTTATAATCTATTGTAGTATTGAATAGACATTCGATGTCTATTTAGCTAGTGTCCAAATGTGTAACGTTTGCTGTAAGACCACCAAGGCGAAGCGCCCAGGGGCGTAGGAACCGGGGGGGCCAGGGGGGCCATGCCCCCCCCCCCAAGTTTTGGCAAGTGCCCTTTTTACAGGAGCAAAGTGCCCTTTTTGTGCCTGAAAAATTTTCATAAAATTCGCAGTTTTTGTCCAAACGAAACTTTTGAAAACTGTAATGTAGGTTTTTTCCCGAAAAATGTTTTAGTTTCCGATAAAAATATCATATATTTGTTTTTCCGGAAAAAATTTTTAGTATTTAAGGAAAAATATGGTATGTCCGGAAAAATTTTTTGCCCCTAAAATGGTACACTGACCGAAATTTTTTTGGCGACGGGGGGGGGGGAGGTCGCCAAAAAATTTTTTTGAGATGCCCTTTTTTTTTTTAAAGTGCCCCTCAAAGCCTGGCCCCCCCAACTTTTCTAAGCTTCCTACGCCCCTGAACATATGTAATTTCTACAAATATTACCAATGTACAAGATATTTCTATTTCAGTAGATTATTTAATATAAATATAAAATGGCTTATTTGCAGAATATTATTTTAAATTCTGACGATATAACTGTACACTGCAACTAACAATGCAAACTGCTTCAAATGCATGCAGAAATTTTAGCCCTCGGAATAAAACTCACGTTGATCAGACCATGTTCTTGTAAAGTTACTCTCGTGCGAATATCTTGCAGTCTGTCCGCCATTTTGGAAAATCACTTTATTTGAGAGTAACATGAAGTATAAAAACGGTAAATACTTCTATACCACTGGCTCAACTTCCATCCACTGAGCTTAGACATACACTTGTGTCTGGACTGTCTGGCTCAGTGATTAATCTTAATCCATTCATCCCCCAACCCTTACCCTAATCCCAAGTTCACAAACAGGCTGTTTTGGTCTCCCCCCTCCAACTCTAATCGCCCCCCCCCTCATCCTAACTCTGATCCTTACCCTCCCCTAACCCCATAAATTCCTAAATCTTCACGCGGGGTTTCCCCTTGGGGTACAAAGGTACAAAGGGCACATTTTTAAAATCATGCCACTTTATAATATTTACCCCATATATTATCCTTCTGCAATTTAATCGGTTTTTGTCCACGTTTACCATGCAATATTCTTTAATTAAAGTTTTATTTACATTTTGTGTTAGATAAGCTCTTTAGATAAGCGTCTTTTAACCTCAAAATAGCCGCAAACCACAGTCTTGAAAGATTTTTTTTATCAGACAGAAATGCGCGTTCTACAATATCGATCCACACTCAATTCTTTCGGATGACTTCTTTTACACCATAGAAAGTAAAACAAAAAAGCAATATTCCAAAAACGTCGAAATATGTCGTTGCCGGATAGCGAGGTCGATAGCAAAACAATAATATAAGCATATATTAAATAAATAAATGCTTCTATTATTGTTTTGCTATTACTAACCTCGCTATCCGGCAATTTATTGCAACGTTTTTGGCAACAAAATTTGTGACAATTTGATTAAATTGCGTGAAGTGGTTTGTCCCCATTTAGTCTCTTGAAGTGTTTTCCGAGCATTCTCTCTCAAAGTTCGATTACATCTGTCATAGCAAAATTAAAGTTTTCTATTGGTTTTGCCAGATTTTCTGCTAGCAAATTTTTACAAACAGTTGTCACAATTGGGCAAAGTTTATTTGCAAGCTTTTGATAACGTTAGCATTCGATTTTGGTGAATAAATTTAAACACTTAGGAGTCTAAATTATTCATAATAGAAAAAAACGCGTATATGTGCAAGAGCAAAATTATAACTGAATTTTTACTGCATAAAAACTTTTCAATATCTTTCGGTAACTTTGGTTGTAATAAAATGCTCCAAAATGTTATGTCTTAGAAGCTGTTTAAATACCTAAAAGTTGGTGATTTTACAATATATTTTACGTAGAATTTTGACAAAGCCACAAAGCTTTGCAGAAGAAGCTTATTACATGCAAATACGTGACTTTCAGCTTGTCCAAATCAATTATTCATCTCATGAAATTGTTTCAGAATAATTTGAACAACAACTGAGGCAGAAAGTGCATGAAATTGTTTTGACAAGCAGTGAAAAATATATCAAAATATGCAACAAAAACACACGCGGCTTCATACTAATTTAGTTGAAATACAATTTATGAATTTATTCCCGAAGTCAGATTACAATTTACAGTTAACTTCCGTTTGTATGTAAACAAAGTGAAAAATTTGTATTTCCAGACAATGTTTCATTGCGCTAGGCTCTGTCCCCTTCTTCCTTATCAGATTTGAGCTGTTTTGCAAAGTATAAAACAATTGCAATATTCACTACGGCAAATGCAGCCATAAGTCCGACTGAGTTGAGAAATGTTGGTCCAACTCGGGCGTCCAAAATTTCACGTCGGTTCGTCATGTCACTGAAAATGGCTGAAAATTCATCCGACGATCCGATAGCCGTAAATAGATGGAGAAAATGATGGCTGTTTCCTATACAATCAAAAGTTCCCGGCGTAAGACGTTCTGGTAGCCTGGAGACGTTGATTAAGGCAGCGAATAGATAAAAGGTTGCATGTCTTTTGTGATAGCTTAATGATTCGAAATTACAATCGGTCGCTTCGATGCACGTATAGGTCCGCCATACCACGGGCGAAATGATAAACAAAAACGCGACCACAAAAGGCATTGTCCGTATCAAATATTTAACGCTCAGCCAGCGATGTCTCGAAGCACAGCAAAGGAAGTTGGCCGAGAGGCTTATAAACGCGCTGATACCAAGAAATAGCAAGTGATTGTTGTAGATGGGGATATCGCTGTAGGCTGGTCTGCCGTAATAGAAAAATACCTGCGACGCTCCGAAGCAGTATATCGCAATCGCCGCGTAATCGAAGAAAAAGCAAGTGTGCCTGAGTCTTGGAGACATTGAGTTGAACATGTGAGCCCCACAGCTCATGGAACAGAAGCCACAGATACTCAACGCGAAGCACATGAGCGGATAGTTGTACGGGTCGCTGAACGACAAGCTCGAGAAGACGCGAGCGAAACGAATAATAAAACAAAACAATGGCAGTAAATGTGTCCAAACATTCAAACATTCGTTACTTTGTATTTGGAATATGCTCAAAAAGCACTCCTTCGCCGAAGAGTACGGCCTCCGATAGCCTGACACGATAAATATTTCCTTAAATTGAGGAGAAACTTCGTCCACTGACAAGTAGCGAGCGACATTTTGATTTCCCGGTCGTAAATTCTCGTCGCTTTTTTCGCTCGCTGTATCCCCATTTAAAGCATCCGTTTTCTTTTGTCTTTTGTGAACTGTAGTTCCGTTCGTTGTCTGCAGATTAGCATTGTCTTCCATCGCTTATTCTTGAGCAAAAGCACCGATATTGTGCGGAAATGAACTGAATATAAAGACGAGCGAAAATCCGTCTTGTGTCTTGTTTGAGCTCAGGGGAAATCCAAACTCTGACGTCATTTAATTAATATTTAATTGGCGTCAGCAAACATAAACCGCTGCTGCGCGCGCAAATTGAATGGCATTTTATCATTTTTTGCGGTCAAAAATTTTTCGATTCAAATAGCTTTTTTAATTGCAAGCCTCTGGTTTGTTTCACTAATTGTTTTGCCAATTTGGCTTTCCCAAGGCTTTTTCTTATTAAACTATATGATAGCAGCGTGCATGAGCTATAAAATAATTCTTTACAAATATATTGATTAATATATTGGCATAAAAAATTTGAATAAATAAGTCTTTTTAATTCATTGATATTTACAAAATATGTTCTTTTCCAAATCTCTTCAAGCAGACGTCTTTGAACAGGTCTCTGCAATATACAAGAAAATCTAATCCTAATCTCAGCCATATAAGGAGAGGTTTACATTTCGGATTAGGGCTTAAGCATAATCCCTAATCACCACCCTCACAGACAAGCATAAATTATTCAGAATAGAAAAACACGTACAGGCATAGGCAGCCCAATGTTATTGTTGCCTGCCTGCGCGCGGGCGAGGCATTGTATAGTTGTATCACAGAGTAGAGACCACTGAGCTATACTATATTACTGGAGGACGTGCTCGGCATCAAAAAGTGTCCGCAAAAACATGGCGGATTTCGGCCTTTGCTGACGCCAGAATGACGCCATATGGTTCCTCCCATAGAGATTATAAATAACACTAGAGGAGGCATCGAGTTTAAAAATTGGGAACGCAGCTAATGGGGGGCAAATTCAAGTCCCGGATATAAAATCGTGCTCTCATTGGCTGATTTGAAACTCGTCACCAATGGGAACACGAATACACATCCGGGACTTGAATTTGCCCCCCAATAGTCGCGTTCCCTTTTTTTTACTGAATTAAGATTACAATGCCTCCTCTAGTGTTATTTATAATCTCTATGGTTCCTCCGGCTCATGGTAATTACCACTGACCAGGCTCAATTTTGAGCCCGCTACGACTTTCACACCCCCCTGGTTCTTATTAAAATATTTTTGCTTGTTGAAGTATTTGCAGTATATTCTCGTAGTTTTTGATTTTTTCATATTTTTTTGTAACTTTGACCACTGGTTCAAATGTGTGCAAGTCGTACACATTATATTCTCGTCCTCAAAAGACAGAAAACTTCGAAATACATCCGCAAAGACGATATTTGAAGCCGCAACTACAGGTAAAATATTTCTCAGTTCATAACTTCACACACTGAGTCACACTCGAGCAAATTTTCTACAAAAATTGTTGGGTTTAACTGTGGTACAATGTATTATATTTTAGCCACAAGTATGTAAAGGTCTCTAAAGCCTTGTTGTACAAAGTAATCAACTTTCGTTTCATTTAAATCGTGAGCAAAATGGTATTTTGATCTATTGTTTATTTGTTTACATGCTCTATTTGTTGCATATTTTATGATGTTTTGAATAAGCCTGCTGTGCAGTTTGTATTTCATGATACTATTTTGAAAATGTATAATTTTCTGTAGGTGGCACGAAACTGTGCATTTTACAAATATCAAATTATCTTAATTTGACCCTGGGGACTGATTTTATAATGACATGAAAGTACAGTATAATGTGCTACCAGTTAGTACTTACCACTATATTTTGAGGGAATAACAAAGAGAATTTATAGTATTTTATATTTTGTACTAACTTTATATGCCAAAGCTAGAGGTACTCAAGGAAGCTCATTCTGCTGTCGGAGTACCTTAAGGAGTTTTGAATCATTATGTATTGTAGTTCTTGGGTGGGGGTTCTAGTTAGTGCAGGATGATGCAACCACTGTAGCTAAGACTAAGACAAATAAACCTCGACGTTTCAGCTGAAGAGCTTGGGGCCTTTATATTTGTTCATATTTTTTTAGCTTTTGGTGTACATACACATAGGATTATGGTTTCTGTAACTTCTAATAGTTTCTTGACAAATATAATTCTGAAAAAACAATGTATTTTTAAGGGGTCACTCAACTTGCCAACAAAGTTCGAGCATCGTCTGAAAACCTAGTATATTTCTTTTGTATTCCTCATTTTCCCTTGATATGATTTTTCATGCTTTTTCTCTTTTAGAGTAACCTATAAAATATATTCTTGTTTATTGCAGAATTATTTACCACCACAATGATGCAGTTGAAATTGTATTATTTTAATTTAAATTCTTCAATGAATAATTATTAACTACCAATCACCAATTATTGATGAGTCACAGTGGCGGCGCCAGGGGGGGGGCAAATGCCCCCCCCCAATTATTTTTTGCCCCCCCCATTTTGCCCCCCCCTCAAAAAAAATTACTAGTCACTAAGAGCGACTAAAGGCTACACAAGCGTTCTGTCGTTATCGGAAAATGTATGGCTTATAAGTTGTCATTACTCATTAGTGAATGCGCATATACATATGAAACTGTTTTTTACAGTTTCAATATTAGTTTGTAAATCTCCGAATGGTAAAACTTGCCAATACTCCAATAATATGTTTCAAAAAAAGACAAAAAAGCTTTAGTTTTGCAGAGTTAAATTCTCAAACGTGTAAGGCAATAATAAGATGAAAGTATCACGAAATTATTTGAATAAACCACATCGCATATATGGGGGGCGGATGTCCTAAAGAGGGGCGATATTCCTAGGGTATTCGCCCCACCCCCTGGGAGGCGATATTCCTAGGATATTCGCCCCCGGGGGCAATATTCCTAGGAATATCGCCACGTTTTGAGGGGCGGGGGGGGGGGACCTTTTTAAAAATTCTATCTTGCCTCCCCAAAATTTGAGTTTGCCCCTCAAATGCCCCCCCCCCCAAATTTGGAAGCCTGGCGCCGCCACTGATGAGTCATTCCAGAAAAGATAAACACTAACTCCACAGATGTCTGAAGTGCTGTCTGAAGTGGGCAGAACTCAACTGCTGATAATAGTAAAAGTATTAGCTAAGGGTGTCCAAAAGTGGGAGGA